AGATGGACACTGAGGGGCTGAGGGTCAGTGGTGTGAGGAGATGGACACTGACTGAGGGCCTGAGAGTCGGTGGTGTGGAGAGATGGACATGGACTGAGAGTCAGTGGTGTGGGGAGATGGACACTGAGGGGCTGAGGGTCAGTGAGGGTGGGGAAATGGACACTGAGGGGCTGAGCTGGGGCTGAAGTCAGTGGTGTGAGGAGATGGATATGGAATGAGGGTCAGTGGGTGTGAGGAGATGGACACTGACTGAGGGCCTGAGTCAGTGGTGTGGGAAGATGGACACAGACCGAGGGACTGAGGTTGTGAGGAGATGGACACTGGGGGGCTGAGCTGGGGCTGAGGGTCAGTGGTGTGGGGAGATGGACACAACCGAGGGTCAGTAGGTGTGAGGAGAGATGGACACGGACTGAGGGACTGAGGTTGTGAGAAGATGGACACTGAGGGGCTGAGGGTCAATGGTGTGGGGAGATGGACACGGACTGAGGGTGAGGGGAGATGGACTCAGATTGAGGATCAGCAGTGTGAGGAGATGGACACTGGCTGAGACTCAGTAGGTGAGGGACTGAAGGGAACTGGGCAAGGACCTGAATTGGGGCTATGGAGAGGTGATGGAGGGGTTGAGGCTAGGGGGAGATGGGCAATGAACTGAGGGGAGGTGAATGTAAGACCTGAGGGCAGCCTTCCTTTAGCCCAGCTCTCTAAAACGTAAGAAAATAAATTTATGTGGTTAAATTTGAACTTCGCAGACAAACGCTGAGGTGCCCCAAGATCAGTGTCAGGCTATAGTAACACACTGAGGTGCTCTACTTACTGAAATGCTGACAGGAGCTTGCTAAGAAAACATTTGCAATTAACTAAGTAAGTGTTATTAATCTTTTTTTCAATATTTATTAAGTACTTAATATAAAACAGTCCTTAAATTCACCTTGTTCCATTTGCACAGCTGTGGCAGTGGCAAGTTTCAGCTCACAGTGCTGCTCGACTGAAAGTGGGTCATTAAAAAACACCCTTAGACTGTAAATCCTTCTGGAGGTGCCAAAGGATCCTACAGATGTAGGAATTTCATGGATAGAGTGGTGAACTACTTGGAAAAAACCTGCACTGGTGGTTAGCAAATGTACAAATCTCAAAAGGCTGGAGACTGGGAGAGCTTTAGGGAATTATTCCAGAATCTTGCCCCATTCTCACTTTTGCCAAGGTTAATGGCAGCTGCTGGAGGCAGAACCTGGATGTGCATCCATGTTCTCAAATTCTCTGTGGGGAATTTCTGCTTTCTTGGCAGGAACCTCAGGCTACAGATGCTGCTGACAGGAAAGGAAACCCAGCATCAAATGAGACATGAGACCAAACAGTGGCTCTTTAGCAGGAGCACCCACTGGGAATGCCATTCTCTGCTCTCAGGCAGAAGGTTTCTTCTGTGCACTCCTTGAGCTTTTCTTTTTTAATAATTTAATAGGGAGCATTTTTAGCTTCTCTACCAAATGCAGGTTCTCTGATCCAAGTGGCTGGGGAAATAAATATGAGTAGAAAAGCTTAAGAGACTCCAGAATTACAAGAGTTGCTTAACCTCTGAGGGAAACTGTGCTGTAAAAAATGTTTTTATGCTGTCAAGCACCCTAAAATTACACAAGCAGGAGAACCTTTCCAAAGTAGCTTTATGATCTTAAGTCACAAATGTCCCACTGAAATTCAAGGGACTTTGGCCTTTTTATTCCTAGAGTAAGATAGATGGGTTAAAGCAAATCTTGCATCAATCCTGGGGAAAAAAATGGAAAAAAACCTGACAACTGCACTTGCAGTGATTGCACTTTTATTTCCTTGGAACCACGTTGGTGTATCTTTCTATAAAATTCACAGTACAAAAAAAAGCAAATTCATACTATCCAAGTGCACTACAGATGCTCTGGTCACCTACTCTACTCTGCTGTGGGAGTTCCTAAATCATGCTTTTCTCAACTAGAAGAAGCTGTAAAGTTCACCGAGAAAACAAAAATAAAAAAGTTTTTCAACAGGAAGAACTCCCCTTGTTTCCCTTGCTCCTTTCTTAGGAGCTTTCTGATGCGTTATGTACAAATTAATTACAGAAAAAAAAAAAGTGGTTTAACATTTCTCAGCTGCTCACCTCACCAAGAGTTTTTCCAAAGCAAATTAGCAATATTTGGTTTTTAAAAATCTGTATCATAGAGAAGCTTTGTAGAACTGTAAATTGGTTCACACTTCCATGACAGAGCTTCTCAGGAGCTCTGAGCAAGTCTGATGAAATATAAAACAATTCTTCTAAATAATTTCCAGATAGCAAGTGAGCAGCTGGACTTCAGTGTCCTTGTGGGTCCCTTTCACCTCAGGTTATTTTGTGATGCTCATTTCTGGATGACATTTAGAAGCACTTACACTGTTCCACGTCTGCAAAAAACAACTTGTTTCAGTCCAAATGTTGCTTCTCAGCACAGAATTTTAACAATACTTCATTTTATTAAAATACCAGCATTGTCATTTCATCTTGAACACAATAAGAACAAATCCACAAAGCTCTACCTCAGATTTGGCTTCACCTTTTCCTTCACCTCCTCTGGAATTTCATCGCTATTGTGCCGGACAACCAAATTATAGGGTTCCTCCTCCCCTGTCTCTTCCCCTGACTTCTGCTCCTCCTCCAAATCCCATTTGGGCCGTTGATTTCCCGTGGAGGAGGCAGGAGAGTGTCCAGCAGGGCTGAAATCCTCGGGGGTGCTGTTGAAATTGGCCTGTGCCAAGCACTTGTGGCACAGGCGGTAGCGCCGCGTGCCCTGCTGCACCACGCAGCCCGTCAGCTCCGTCACCTGCCGCTTGCACTTCCTGCAGAT